CTGCTACCACTGCTGCAGCTGCTTAGCATGGGCGGGTGAGTCCAGAGCAGGTGCAGGATGGGCCAGCGTGGGGCTGTGCACTGGTTCCGCTGGTCCGGAACTGGTCTGCTCTGCTGGGCTAAGTCTGGAGCAGGCATGGGGCAGGCCAGGTTGGGACAGGTCCCTCCGAATACCACGAGGCTGGGGCCAGCGGCAGTGGCAGCCAGAAGTAGCCATCGCTGCTTTGGCTGCCTAGAAAGGCAGCCCAGGCTAGGGGCTGTGCACTGGTGGGGTGCATGGGGCTGTTGCGGGGGTGGGGGAGAGAGGGCAAGGGGTGCTGACTGGCCTGCAGCAGCTCCCGGAACTGCCTATGTGGTCCATGGGCAAAAAGAATTGCCTGCCCCTGGTCTATACAAAGGAGTTTGGCAGAAGATTCCCACTGAAGCTACTGTCAGTTCAGCTATGCTGACATGGAGGCTCAATCAGGATATTCTGGTTGGCGTCAATCAGTGTGACTCCACTGACAGAGTCCAGTTTTTACCAGTTGAGGCGCTAGTCTGGAAGAAGAGACTCTGGTGCCCCCTAGGACAGGGGGAGGTAAACCTACAGCCTGTGAGCCAGATCTGGCTTGTGGAGCCCTTCTATCCAGTCTGCAAAGCAAAGTCTTCTGCAGTGTTTTGGCATCGCAGAGCTTTGCCCATGTGGCAGTGAGAGGCTGTTGCCACCGGCATGAGCTGATCTAGAATTTTGAAAACGGGGGTGCAAATGGTGTGGTGCCTCATCACGTATAACACAACAATGTTCTCCAGTTAAAACGAAAGTAGAAGCTAGGGGCCCAGTGCTGTGTTCTTCAGTTTAAAATTGAAACAAAAACAAATATTACTATTGGAACGTGCATTTAATTTGCTATATCATCTTATGTATAAAAACGCAACAAACTCCTGGTAATCAAGAGATGTTGTTTCATTAGTTACGTTATTAGAAGTAAACGTACATTTGTACGCTTATTTTTTTTTTTTCACGCATAAAACAAAATCAAGCTTTCTTGAGAATCTTGACATAGCATCCAGTGTTTCACTGAAAGTTATTTCCACACCTGAGTTTTCACTTGAATTAAAGTTCCCAGACCCAAGGCACGGTTTTTAGGTAGACTTAAAAATAGTCTGCAGGGCTTTAATATAGGAGCTACATTACCAGGCGCAGCTACCAGACAGCAGAATTGCAGAAGAAAGACTGGCTTGATAAGTGGAACATCAAGACCATTAAAAAGGAAAGAAGATGGTTAACACCTATGGAATGAAGAGTTCAGAAGGAAGTGGGTAGATTATAATGAAATATGCAGTCAACTGACTTCCTCACTGCTGCCTGAATAGAAATGCTGGAGCTCCTCCCAGGCAGTTTTTAAATTTGGGTGAACAAGGAATCAAAGCGGGGTGGAACTGCACCAGTGAGCACTCGCCACTCCAGATCTGCCCCTGCCACCAGATGATGGGAGAAGCAGGGGCAGCACCAGTGGCAGGCAAGTCGGAAGGCCCATCCCAACACAAACTGAGCTGGGTAACTTGGCCCACTGCTCCTGAAGCATTGCTGACCCCTGCTGTAGGCAAAGCTGGACACTACGAAAGTGTTCTGCACCAAGGCTCCTACTGGTGTGGCTGAGCAAGAAATAGCCTCAGTGAGACTTCAGGTTTGGGTTTTTTTACTCAATTCCCTAGCATAGATAAGGGCAGCACTTCTTAACTTACCTATTGAAATGCCTCTCTCTGTTCTAGATAAGCCTGGCTCTTTTCATAGCTGTCACATCCCCACACAACTGCTGTTTTTGTGCATACTGAACTCTTTTTCTCCATCAGATAGCCTTATTTCTTTCCAGTGCATCTTAATAAAGAAAGCATTTTGAAAGGAGAGAAATAAATGTTGTTGGTAGAGCTGGAATATCGGCACACAGTCACGTAAGGAAACAGATTGGCAGTGAAACACAGGAATGCCTCTATCTTCCACTGGGACATCTCTCAGTTTAATTAAAAGATCTTGGAGTTAGCAGGCTCCTGAGGGAAGTCTTTTTTTTTTTTTTTAAATAACTAAACAGGCAAGGGAGAGATCCTGTGTTGCTGAGAGCTGGGCTGTACAGTCTCTTTAGAGAACCTTATCACATGCATGCTATTCCTTTTTTTTTATTCTCCAGGCTTCAAAGCCGAAGGTCAGCATCCCGCTCTCGGCCATCATCGAAGTCCGGACAACGATGCCTCTAGAAATGCCAGACAAAGACAACACTTTTGTCCTGAAGGTAAAGCACCCTGGATGCATTGAGATTTGTACTGGATCCAGCAACATCCCGGGCTTCTGTTCCCCTCCCCATCTCAGCAGCCAGTGATTCTACCCAGATGGCAGCTGCTGCCCTCCAGTCCCACAGGGAGGGGCCTGGGAGAGGAAGGGCTGTTGTGTATTCATGACGGGTATCCCCCTCCCTGGCAGCAATTGATTATGCCTGACACGACCAGCTGCTCAGAACTGTGTGCTTGCAGGTTCCAAAAGAGCCTTTGGTGCTTCAATTCACCCCCAAAAGATTGCTGCATGGCATGGATACAGAATTGTAGTGTCATGTAACTGGGGCCTGGCCTCTGGGATGTGCTTAAAGAGAGACCTGAGAGAGATGGGAAAATGGACAGCACTTAGATTTGCACTCCAGTGGATTTAAAGACGTTAGGGCCAGCAGGGGCCATTAGATCAGTGGGTCTGATTCTCTGTCTCTCACGGGCCCTTACATTTCACGCGGTTACAAGCACAATTTAGTAGCTCAGTACAGCAGTGTTTGGCAAAGGTGCCACTTCCACCAAGGCACCCAGCCTTGGTATGAGCCCATCGAGAGCTGGAACCTCTGCCACTCTCCCTGGGAGTCTGCTCCAAGGCCGAATTGCCCTCCCTGTTAAGAATCTGTGCCCAACATCTGAGCCAAACCCACCTGGCGTCAGGTGCCATTGGCTAGATTCATGTTCTGCCTTCCCCTGCTGCATTAAAGAGCTGTTTCACCAAAATTACTTTTGTCAACATTATTAACACCTTTACTCTCTCCATCCACTACCCAATGAAGTGGGTTGCTGCCTGTGAAAGCTCCTGCCACTGAACTTGTTAGTCCCCAAGGTGCCACCTTGCTTTAGTTTCTCTTGATAGTGTAGAATCATGTGTTTGGCTAAGCTCTTCCAAAAGAACTCTCAATTTTCATCCAGGTTTGTCTATCATATTTACTCAAATTTAAGATGATCCTGAATGTAAGACACCCCCCCCAATAATTAGATTCTGTACATGGAAAAATTATAAATTAGTTATAACTTTCCATGTATAGAATCTAATTATTGGAGGGTCATCTTTAATTCATACCCCCACTGCTGCAAAGGGCAGGCAGTGGGGCAGCAGGTGGTATGGGGAGACCAAGCAGCTGGCCCCCTGCTTGTGCCTGCCCCCTTGCCACCTCTGCCTCCTGCCGCCTCCCTCCCCACACCTCAGGTCCCCACTTCTCCCTCTGCTCCCTCTCCTGCCCCTTTTCCCCAGTCTCTACTCCTCCCTTGCTCCTTGCCCCCTACCCCCTCTTGTCCTTGCTCCATCCCCATTCTAGTCTAGGGCAATGAGCCTGGCCCCAGCCCTCATAGCAGCTGTGTGATGCTGCTGTGGGACTGGCCATGCTCAATGCCCCAGGCTCCAGCTTGGACAGAGAAAACATAAGGAGGGGAAGGGAGAGGAGCAGGTGTGGAGCAGAGGGTGCATGGGGGGAAGAGATGGGGGAAGAGGCTGGTTGGGTACAGAGGTGGTGGAGGGGCAGGCAGCAGCTGCGGCCATGGCCCTAACCGTGGGTACAGGATGAAACCTGAGCACAGCAGCTGTCTGCCCCCTCCTCCTTTATTCAATTGTGAAATGCTTTTTACCCATGTTACATGGCGGGGGGGAGAATCTCATCTTAGAATCCTGTATATTAAAATAATTTTTTTTCTTTCTAGCACAACTTGGTCATACTTTTCCTCAGTTTTAGGAGGCTAATAAATTAGCCTCCTCCTTGGCCAGATACAGAACCTATATGCAAATGAGAGTCCTTTCCCACTGGGTCCAATGCAAGGAGAGATGCAGTTTAGATCCAGTGACAGTGAAAGCACTAGGGATTCCTCAAGGTTCCTTGGGCAGTCCCCCAGACAGTGACTCTTACGATAGTGTTGCAGGCCCCCCATGTGCAGTGTTTCTCTCTCTCTCTCTGGCTCCCAGAGCTAATCTTTCCAGGTTACAAGCAGAATGGTGCATGTTCCTCCTGCATCTCTAGTCTGCAAACTCAGACTGGGAACTGAGTTGAGCTGGATTCCTTTTAGTTCATCTTAAAGTTACGGGTATGCTTTTGGTCCCCGTAAAAAGGAATGGAGCCAACAGCAAAGTTTTTGTGGCAAGAAGCAGAAACAGTTCATATGTTCTGTGGGTGATGAATGAACTGGAGTGAAATCGTGCTCTCTCCCTCTTAGCTGTGTTGGCCTTGCAGAGCTAAGAGGATCCATACGGCACAATCGGAAGGTAGGAGACAAAATAAGCAAGTGATCTGCTTCCCAGTTGCCAGACTGGCTCCCCTATTTGCTAAATGTCAAACCCTTAGCATTTGCTCCCATGCTTCTCTTTCCTGCTGTGGCCAACGAGCAGCCTAGATGTCCCCTTAGACCTCACCAGTGAACTGAAGGGGCCAGCCAGTGCTATTGGCCTACGAAGGAGCCATGACAGTTCAAGACAGGAAGCTCTGCAGATGAAGACTGAGGGCCGCTAGGTTGCAGTCCCAGCTCTGCCGCTGACCAGCTGTGACATTAGAGGAGCCACTCCCACCATTGCCTTGTTTGTAAGCTCTTCAGGGCAGGGACTGTCTTTTGCTATAGATTTAGATCCATGGAGTCCAGCCCTTATTGGGGTCTCTCACTGTTCCCATAATGGAAATTTATTTGAAGATGAATTTGCTTTGCCATTGCCTGGTTAGGGGTTGCGTTTGGTCTTTGGTGGCATTCTGAGCGGAGAGAGACTGTACAAAAGGGGCTTTCTGTCTGTCTCTTTTTTCTTATTGTTCAGCCTACAGCCCCGTTTGGCTGGAAAATTGAAAGTCGGAGACAATCTGCCAAGGGGTGACACTGCCCACTGTTATGTAAATGCTGCTGTTCCCGGTTGCTGGAGTGTGGTGTTCATTTGATCAATAAGAGGGGCTGGTGGAAGCTGTTTGATTGGGGGTGGGGGAGGGTGGCCTGCATTGCATGTCGTAGGGCCTCTGGGGATGGAGAGTAATGCACAGCAGACAGGAATCTGAGGACAAGAGTAGATATGAAGTGCTACTCTAGCCCTCTAGCTAGAGACCCTCAAAAAGACTTTTTTCCATACAATACAGTTAATTAGCTTAATGCAGTATCTTCTGCAGCGTGCTGCTGGCGGCTGCTCCTAACAACCCCTTGTTACAAAGCAGGATTTCTTCCCACTGGGCCAAAGCAGGAGACGTGGAAGAAGTCTGTTCTGCAGGCTGGCTCTGATCTGAACTGGGAGGCAGCCTCCCCAGCAGGGGCTGAGCGCTGCCTTTCCGCTGGTGAGTTTCCCTCAGATCCATCCACACACGCCCCTCAAATGCAGTGCTTTGGGACTCTGGCTCCGAACACAAATGTGTGGGTCTGAGGTTGCAGTGACAAAGCACGTGACGAAGGTTTGATTAAAGGAAAAAAAAGATGCTTTAGTCTAAGAAAGCTGCCGCTTCCTAGCAGCCACTCTCAAGGGGATGCTGGTGTTCATGGCACCTTGCTCCTCATTGAGCCTGATCAGGAGCATGTGGCACTGCAGGCAGAAGGTTAGTGTGCGCAAGGAAGAGCCTCAAAGGTTTTAGTGCATGAGCATTGGTACCAGGGTGGCCAGTCCTAGGTGTTTGGATGAACATCCAGATTCCTGCCATCCAGCTAAGACAAGTCTCCAGAATTAGGAATGAAACATCATGTGACTGCAAGCTCTCTACCTTGAGGCTTCTGCTTCTGGTCCCTGGTCAGCTGCGAAAGTAGGCAGCTTTGGGCCAACAGATTGTTTTGAGCACTACAATGGCAGGCTGGAAACCTGTTTATCTTCCTCACTCTGCCCTGAACATAATGAGAAGCACTGCTTTTTTTTTTTTTTTTTTTTTTTTTTTTTTTTTTTTTGGTTATCATCTTGTACTGGACCATCTAGAACAGGGGTGGGCAAAATGCAGCCCGCGGACCCGATGCGGCCCATCAAGCCATTCTATCCAGTCCATGGGGCCCCTAAAAAATTTAGAAAATTGATATTAGTCTGTCTCTGGTTGCTTGTCATGTGTCCCTCGATGATTTGCCAAGACTTGGTAAGTGGCCCTCCTCCTGAAAAATAATTGCCCACCCATGATCTAGAATCTATACTCCATGCCTGTCTCATTTCCTAGGCCATCAAGGCTGGACCAACACTTCAGGCCTATTATTGCGTATTAGAGAGGTTTCTTCCTTTCCCTGCACTGCCAGTCTGCCAGAAAGAAGTGTTTCTATTCACCTGGTTAAGCTGTCACAGCTCACAGGCACAAGAGCAGTGCAGTGTGCTCTCAGTGCTGATTTGAGTCAGATCCAGCCTCGTGTCCATGTAGCATGAGGGGAAGCAGAAATGCTCCCACTGGTATGGGTTATGTAGGGGGTGCTTTTCTTTGAGCCAGTATCCATTGCATTGCTTTTCTGCCCATGGCTGTTTTAGATACATTTCCATCAAAGCTACAGGACTGGAAAACTGAGATGTTAGACAAAGCAAGTCCCCACCCCAAATCTGTGTCTGACACCAGAGGCAGAGGGGAATGCACCTGAGTGTCCTGATGGCTGTTGCATCCAGCTGTTCTGGAAGCCCCCATTCTGGCTCCATAGTTAAATACACAGCATAACTCAGTCTTTGTGCATCAGACTAATGACAGTCTTGGTTGTATGGAGGCCAGGGCTGTGCTCTAAATCTCTTTTTCCTTGCAGTAAGTCATGCTGGGCTATTTGTACTGTTGGCAATACCCGAGTAAAATTTATACGACCTTACAGGAGAAAGGAATACTAAGTTTGAGTCCAGCACGGGACTCCTCTGAGTACTTGCCTGTACTTGTTTGTGAGACTTTTAGATCTCTCAGTATCTCTTTCATAACTTTTACTTGTAAGGCCCAGAAACAGGGAACTGCTAATGCTTGAAGAATTTCTGTCCCACCTCGGCCAAAACCTACCTCTAATGCTGTGGTTTGTCTCACAAAGCACATTTTCAATGAAGAGGGTAGAGACCAGTTTTCTTGTGTGGCTGAACTAGTTAAAGGTTTCCAAAATGGTAAATGCCAAGGGCAAATTTCCTGTATTAAGGCTTCTATTGTATTTGTCTTTAATATATTTAGATTTAAATTGTTGCACTTCATATCCCAGCTCCAAATGGGCATATGTTCCTTTAAGAAAGTGCTTTGAATTGAATAGATGCCCTGTGGCATGCAGGGGTTGCCATGGAAATTGTTCTTTCTCATTGAATCACGGATTCCTTGACAAGTCTAACTTATGCAAACTTCATCTGAGCTCCTTGTCAATAAGGATAAAGGGGCACTTGTGAGGAACAAAACCTTGATGTCCACTTTGCATTTGGTGTGCTGGGGGGCTGTGCATGCAAGTGTGAGTGTGTGTGCACACATGTGCCTGTGTGTGCATGTGTCTTGTTCCAGAGCACAAGTGATGAGGAACGAGGTACAGTGTGCCCTGGGACAGCAGCCAGGTTAATGTAGCTTCCTTCCCCTCCGAAAGCTTCCCAATAATTCTCAAACAATAACAGCTCTTCCAAGAGGCTTTTCCCGTTATTTTGGTTCCTGTTTCCTCAAGGGGCTTATTTGATTTGTTTGTTTCAAAGTTCGTAATTGACTGTTGAGATCCTAATTGACCTCTTGAGCTCTGTGTTCTCGGGGAGAGGAAACGTAAAAGGTGTTTTCAGTAGTTGTTGTGCCTCAAGTGACTCCCAGAGCCAGACACTTCCTGGTCCTTCCTGTCCATGCTACAGTCTACCGAGGGACGTGGTCTGAAGAATTAGCATGTGTGGGAAGGTGCAGTGATCATTAATTGATCCCAGCAGATGAATCATGATGAAAATGCCTCTGGGAAATAGGCATGTGGGTGATGTTGCCTTCCATTGGCTGGGCCTACAATGAAGAAAAGGGATTTATTAGAATAAGTGGCCTTTTGAGCTCTTCTGTAGCTTGGATGCCAGAGGTCTGTGGCTTTTGAGGCAAAGCAGTTGGGTATATTTGCCACATGTAGGAATTGCATTTGTTGTGGGTGGCATGTAGGCTCATGATGGAGGGGAAAGGTAGGGCAGATCTGCAAGAATGAAAAACTTTCCCCTCTCGTTTAAGGTAGCTGTATTTTTAATTGATTCTGCAACGTTTTGAAACCTCTAAATTCAACCCCAAGGTATTTCTGCAGCAAGTGACACTGCTCTCCCTCCTCTTTGTAACTTACATGTTCTTCCATCATGAAGACAAATGGTCCATTGCAAGATACTCATGCACTGTGCTCATTTTGCTTCCTTTTGTTTTAAATGTTAGAGTCCCCAAACCTTCAACACCCTGCCCCCCCGGGTGCTCATGAAGCATCGGCATCAGTACGGAGGCTAGTGGCTGAGGGGATCTCGCTCACCTTGGTATACCCGCCTGGACCTCAGCATTGCTAGTGCACTGCACTTGCTTCTCTAGTGTTTGGCAGCAGAGCAGGCTCAGGGCCCTGCTGCTGCCCAGCTCTGAGTAGGGCCCTGGGGTAGAGCCTTTTTGGCAACCTGTTCCTCAGCTTGTTTATTTTCAGTGCAGTGATTCTATGAATTGAACCTAATCATATAAAACAGAAGGTCATCCTAGCTAGCAATGCAATACCCTGAGTTAGGACTGCCTCATCCAGTTCAGTAACAGATTATATAACATGCTTGGGAAGGATAGAGTAAGGAAAAGCCTGCCATAGACATGGGGTTTGTGCCTGATGCTTTAAGAAGCCACTTCCAGCCCTGTTTTCTGTACCCATGCCACATCTGCAGCATTTCCAGCTCTCATGAGTGTGAATCATGATGGTTTTCATAAAGCATTAGCTCTTTGAGTCATGTGATTGGCCAGTTGAGCTCCTCTTACATTTCTGGCTCCTGTGGTACCAGACAAAAGCTTGAATCCTAAGGACACAGGACCCTAGAGGCAAATAAAAGAGACTCTCAGATGTAAATAATGAGCAGGGATCCTGGTTTTCTCAGTTTAAAAATCACAAATTCTCTGATAAAACTCGCAACTTCCACAATTAAAATAAAACTTCACTATATATAGGTATCAGTTGAACACAATGTTTTGTTGATAAATTTACAATTTTAAAGCAATTTGGAAACCTACCAGAGCCTCAATCATTATAACAAAATACATTTTAAATACCTATAAATTTTGGTGTTTGATTCAGGGGTTTTTATCATGGAAAGTCAGAGCTCCCCTTGCCCCCTTCACTCACGAGGATGTGGGTCCAGCTGCAGCTGTCCCCCCTGCTGCTTTGTGGCACTGAGGAGCCTTGATATGTTATAGCCCCCCCCGGCCACCAAGCCCTTACTCCAGTGCCCCTTACTCCCAACTCCCAGCCCTGCCAGTGCTCCCTTAACACTGCGCAGGGCTGTGGTACCCCTGCAAAGGGGGGGGGGG